TCGGAATAACGAGGCCTTGCGTCGCCGCGCCTTCACCAGCTGCAAGCAGGCGGAGAACGAATCCTTTGACGACTTTTTTGTACGCTTGAAGAGTTTGTCAGAGGAGATCGACGTCTGTAAGGCGCACAGCCGGGAATGTGAGGAAGCCTGGATCAAGCACGGGATCTTGGCAGGTGTCAGGCAGGAAGAGTTGGTGCAGCGACTCATCCCCCTGGACGCTTCCTCCACACTCCAGGTGGTAGTGACTGAATGTCGGTCGTACGAGGCCACCAAGTCCGCCACCTCTGCCTTACGGGCCCCACCTGCTGTGAGAGCTATCTCACAATACAAGAAGGGTGAGAAGGCAGCCAACAACGTGAAGGCTGCCGCACGTTCTTCCACGCCTCCGCCTAGTGCTTCCTGTGGCAGCTGTGGAAAGCAGCATGGCCCCAAGACTTGCCCGGCCGCCGACGCACTGTGTCGTGGATGTGACCGTAAGGGCCACTGGTCTAACACAGACAGGTGCCCTGCACGAGGCCGCAAGTGTCAGGCCTGCGGTCGCTATGGACACTACGACAAGTGCTGCCGCCAACCCAAGCCCAAAAGCCCGAGACGAGGAGGAAAGCAACGCACTTCCCTCGGTGTGGTTCGCACGCAGCCCCCTCCAGATGGCCCACGCAATCCCAAGCAGCAGCGGAGTCACATCAGGAGGGTGGAATCGACCACGCGCCCCAGGGCTACCCCTTCCCCTACCATCCGCGTCGCCTTCACACACGGTGATGTGTCGGGTCACATCGAGGTGATACCGGACACCGGCGCTGATACTACGGTGATTGGGTTGAAGCACTTACAGAAACTGGGTCTCACCAAACGTGACCTGGGACCACCGCCGCAGCTGCTGTACTACAATGCGGACGGTTCCCAGATGCTGGACGCTGTGGGCTCCTTTCAAGCGGAGATCACTTACGGCGACAGGTCGTGTCACGGATGGATCGACGTGCAGCCTACTCTCGCTACACCCTTGTTGTCGTGGGAGCACCTCAAGGAGTTATGCGTGGTGCCCAGAGACTTTCCCGAGCAGATCCCAGCTGCTCATTACACCGCCAGCAAGGTGCGTGAGTCGACGAGCAACGCGCCTGGCACTGCCGCACGGAGCTGCCCAGAACCCACGTCCACTCCCACCCACACAGGACGCTCCCCTGCCCAGATCCTGTATGGTCACCCTCTCCGCTCTTGCGTTCCTGCACACGCCAAGGCCTTTGCGAAGGAGTGGCAGGCCAGAGCCGAGAGCTGCGACCGCCGCGCCGCTTCACGTGCCCAGGACGCCAAGGCTCGGTATGAGCACCGTGCCCGCCCTCTTCAGCCACTGGAGATTGGTGCCCTTGTCCGCGTCCAGGACCCGACGACGACACGTTGGGACAAGGTGGGCATAGTGATGGGCGTCGGCCGGTCGTGGGACTAAAAGGTCAGGATGCCGAGCGGCCGTGACTGGTGGAGGAACCGCCGCTTCCTCCGGCCAGTCCCACCTCCTGCTGCTGGCCCCCTGACCGAGGACGAGTCACCTACACCTCACGAGGATCCGCCCCACAGTGCACCTCGACGCTCGGAGCGACTTAGGACTAAGAAGTCCGCTCAAGACAAAGACTATGAGCGTGAAGGGGGAGGGAGATGTAGGTTATGTATCTAAGCTACTGTGCCGAGTCGCAACCTTGTAAATAAGCTACTGTGCCGAGTAGCATTTATATATATATAATTACGTGGCAACACTGCACGTGTTATGTGGCAACATTGCCCCGAGGCTGCCATATGGCAAGGCAGTCTCAGTCTGACTGTGTGAGCCGTGCATGGCACACGCTAGTCACCACTTGTATTTCTCTCATCCATAATAAACGGACTTCAGTGTTACCCGGTATTTCCCTACCCATCACTGCATTCTTCAGGGAACACTTGTAACCATCAGTAATAGTCAGCATGCTTACCTCGCAAACAAGAGGACCCGGAATCGATCCCCAGTCAGGGTGAATCTATGGGCAAGTTTCTTTACGCCATTTGCCGCTATCTACCCAGAAGTAATTGGGGGCCTGGATGTTAATCGATTTGCGGATTGTATTCTGGGGTAATGGTCAGTCAGTGCAGTTGGCGAGCTGTCCGGTCTTCTCAGACTACTCCTTGACACCGGGTCATGCAACTCGTTAACTAAGAGTGTAGTTGTTGTGTTGGCGACAGCTTCTACACCTTAAACAAATTCACGCCTAGGTGGCTCTGAGGCCGGCCATCCTCGTTACACGAGAGGTAACGGGGTAGATATACAGTAGACTGCATGGGAGCCTTATTTTTTGACGGGATTAGCCCATCAGGGCACAGGTCAATGACCCACATCAGGACCTGGGAGTGTAATAATAATAATGATAATAATAATAATAATAATAATAATAAAGGACCATAAAAAAAAGAGATCTGTGGTGAGAAGCGATATATACAGTATGTATGTTGTGTTGTCAAAGTAAATGAAACAATTGAGACCCTGCAACTGTGTGTAAATGAGGCAGAAATTCCGATCAGTAACCTGGGACTTGGTCACAATTTTTGTGTTGCCATATGGCAGCAGGATCTACCATTAGACAATACATTATGCTTCCAATATCTTCCCAGGCGGTAGTACCTCCCTGCCTACTACCCCTGTACTACAGTATTACTCTCAGTAACCGTGTGAGTCATCCACAAAACACTACAGTTATAGACATTAGGCAATTATTAAGGGCGGATCCAGAGGAAAGGGGGGGTCCTGGGGGTCCTGGCCCCCTTTTTTCATTAGAAAATTCCAATACTTTTTCTGTAGTGCAGTATTGTACTCAGGCATTTTTGTATAGTAAAAAGTATTTACTACTGACTTCAGAATACCTCCTAATATCAAGAGCACGTGGCTTCAAAATGGCCTCAAAATGTTCATGATATTGCTCAGATTTAAAAAAAATAATTCTTGCGTTCACCCCCCAAAAAATACCCCAGCTGGGTGGACTTGCTATGCTCGCCATATTCCCCCACCCACAACTTCTTGGACCCCCTTCTTGATGTTCCTGAATCCGCCCCAGATTATCCCTTTTTCGTGTAACACATTATATATATATATATATATATATATATATATATATATATATATATATATATATATATATATATATATATATATATATATATATATATATATATATATATATATATATATATATATATATATATATATATATATATATATATATATATATATATATATATATATATATATATATGTGTGTGTGTGTGTGTGTGTGTGTGTGTGAGATGTGAATGCTTATTTAGCCGTGAAGAATAAAATGTTGTGTAACAAAATATTTTTACTCGTCAGCATCGTAGTAAACTAGGAAGAACACAAGGAGGTCAGCCAATTAGCAGGAACAAGGTTCATGAGAGTGGTGGGGAAGGTGGGGTGTGTGTGTGTGTGTGTGTGTCGGGAGAGTTTACGTTGAGTGCTGAGGCTTCACGTTAATAGGATTCCCGACATGTGGTCACGTCAGCCGTAAGAGACAACCTGGTCTCACCACCTCCATTTTTTATTTATGCTGGCTGTGTAATTTTTATGGTTGTACGCACCTTTGATGGCTCCTTCCTCCACACACACAAACAGAAGGGGGGGGGGGGGATGTACTCTGAATACGTCATCCAAGTCATGAGATTTAACGCAAGAGCGTCCTTGTCAACCTGAAGAATACGGGGTGTCGTCACTTTTAACGTCGATGATTTGTTCCTTGAAAATGCGACTGTAAGTGAAATGACGAGAAGCGGATCAACTACTCCCACAAGAATGAATGGAAGTAGAAGCGTTAGTTGTTGTTTTGTGTTTTTGTCAGTCAAAAGTCATTCTGCACATCAAAGTTTTAACAAGGAACTTTTTATGATTCTAAAGTTGAAACTATAGATAAATTTAAATAAAAAAAGTTATTTGCGAGTATGAAAGAAGAAATAAACTTTCAACGTCTATCTTGTTCACGTCTACTCACTGGTGCAGGTGTGGGATTAAGTGTTTTCATTATCCTCATGCAGTTTAAAAAAATTGTAAAGAATTTTCAGAGATTTTTCCTTTTTTAACAGAGACTGTTAGAATATCGCTTGGATATTTTAATAAGAATATACAGTCCTTGAAATGTATGCCAAGCGCTGTTCAGGCATGTGTAAGGTTCGCTGCTACAAAAAACATTTGAACCCCTATTTAATGTCGTTGGAAAGAAAATCCAGCAACTAAAATCACATGAGTTCTTTTGATTTTTACCCAGTGAGGTATTTGTTGGTCTCTTTAACGTTGTTGAGAGGACAACGACTTTATAAGGATACAGGACACAAATCGAAGCAACTTTATGATGATTAATTATGTATTACAGTATAAGGTTATTTCTTAACTCGCCGAATAGCAACAAACTTGATAGTCATAATTGTTTCAGATAATCTTAGAAATCAGACGGATCAGGGTACACATTTGCCAAGTTCACTATTGTTAAAGTGCTGGCTAAGGGTCCATGCTTAGTGAATTTAGGATCATGTCGGCGTGACGTTATGAAATTCAAATCACAAGTCGGCAGATTATTAACATGTTAATTGGTAGAGGCACTGAGTGTGGTGACCCATTCCATTCTTAGAGCTCTTGTTAGTGTATTAGTGGACCCTGTGGACTCGAACGTGTTGTGATGTAGAGCCTCGTGATGACGTCATGAGCGGGAAAGAATCTACAAGCATATTTTTTTTAAGAATGTGAAAAATATATATACGCACACTGTAGAGGAGAGGGCCTGAGGCAGGAACAAACATTCTTTAAACATACACATACTGCTCACACTTCCAGTTGTGTATACAAATATATACACTGCAGTTTGCATCCTATATTAAATTGCTAAATCATTGATTCTCACCATGGAAATCGTATGTCATTTTGCTAAAAGTGAATTCACTATTTTCTTTATTCCATAATAAAATATTTTTTCGACTTTCAGAGCTACTGAAGGCTATCACTTACCGCCATCATGGGTAAAAAAGGAGAGAAGGATAACAAGCTGGAGAAAGCAAAGACTCTTAGCATAGATGAGAAGAATGATCTTGCCATGGAGGCGGTAAGTTGAGTGTACCCGAGCAGCCTGCTCCTTGGTCCTTTAGTTGGTGAACACTTGTGTCCCATCACTGGTGGACACAATGTAATGCGGAGGTTGTTAGTCGCTGGTCGACGTTCTCAACTAACAATATACTGTATTAGGAACCCTCAGGGGTGATTGAAAAACAGTTTCCCAGACTACAGTATACTGCTCCTGGCGAGGCAAAGTTACTTTTTCCAGACGATGCTGAAATGGACGATTAGACGTTAATGTAACTAATTCTTACCTCATGACTTAGTAATGTAGCGCAATAGGATCACTGTTTTGAATCATCACTGATAATACAAATAATCCACACACTAAAGTAGCAATATTAAATATATTTACATGAACTTGATATTATATTGCAAATATTATATTCATATAACATGCAATAACTTGCAACACTAAAACTTGTTGTCAGCAATGCATTAGGAGTATTACGAGTCAGTTGAGGTGAAGTGTATTGGTTCCCACAGGGTAGCCGGTTGCTTACCCAGATGCCAAACTTGCCCAAGCCTCTCACCCTGGAGGAGAAAAAGTTTCTCCTAGCTGTGGAACGAGGCGACTGCAACACCACCAGGAAGTAAGTCTTCTTCAGTTTTATTTCTTTGGCAAATTTGTTCACACATCTGTTACTATGTCTCATACAGTAACTTTATGACAAACTCACAATTTATACAGAGTCGGTACTTTCATCATTGTGTGTCTTTTTCTCTACTGGAGGAGAAAACTCCCAAATTGTTTCCCAAATCTTCAGTCTGGAGGAAGTAAGGGGGTGCCCAATACACTAGCCCCCTCGGGGCAATCTAAAAAAATCTTCAGTCTGGAGCCTTTCCTTACCACTGTGCTTCTCTGCTTGTTGGTCTTTTCCTATCCCTTGGGATCTCTTCCCTGGCCTTCTCCCTCCCCACCCTGGTATCCTCACTTCCCTCCTTATCCCCCTCCTTCCTCCTTTCCCTCCCTATCCTCGCCTCCCTTCCCTTCTCTCCCCTCCCCTCCCTGGCTTCCTCCCTCCTGTCTCTAGCCTCCTTCCTGGCCTCCCTCAACCACTTAAAACTGACGCATCCTCCGTGGCTCCTTCAGGATGTTACAGAAGGCTCATCGCCACCAGGATTACATGAACATGAACTGTGTTGATCCGCTGGGGCGTGGCGCTCTCCACATGTCCATCTCCAACGAGAACCAGGAGATGGTGGAGATGTTGGTGGTGATGGGCGTGGAGACCGGAGACGCCCTTCTGCACGCCATTGACGCCGAGTTTGTGGAGGCCGTGGAAGTCCTACTGGAACACGAGGAGGTCATTCACAAAGAAGGCGACGATTATGTAAGTGTTTAGTGACGTGTTGTGTTGTTTTGGGTGGCGCATAGTGTTGTGCTGTAAGGATGTTTACATTGTTCATATGTATTATATAAAGCAATTTAACATATATCATTCGTTGTAATTACAAATCACTATTTTTGCTGCACTGTATTACTACACGTTCACACTATGTGTAGCGTGTCGTCTTGCAAGAATGTTTAGCAGTACCATTGAAAGTCATGTTACTCCCTATCACTGTAACAGCTATGAGCTGGTCAAGGAGTCAGTCTTTCTCTGGAGGTTAAAGTTCATTCAGTGACTCCTAATATAAACTGCTATCAGTATAAGATGTCTTTGCAAAAATTAATGATTGTTATCATTACCATAATGTTCTGAGTCATATACAGTAGGTGGTACTCCGAGCACAGGTAACACTAACACTCAGGTAGTGAAGTTAAATATCACTACAGGGAGTGAATGGCACAACAGGTGAATCATTACATATACTTCCTCTCATCCTTTTCTTGTATTAATAAGGACACAGTTCGTCCTTAACCTCCACATTCATTAGCTACACCTCGTCATGTCAGTTCACTACACATACTAGGCTAGGTCGTGACGGGTGGCTCATGGTTAGCTCTGTAATACATCAAGTGACTTAACAATTATACCGCTATAATATAGACCGCCAGTTTCGATGACTTTTAAGCACTGACTACTGTAATGATAAAACATGGATGACTACTGTAATGATAAAACATGGATGACTACTGTAATGATAAAACATGGATGACTACTGTAATGATAAAACATGGATGACTACTGTAATGATAAAACATGGATGACTACTGTAATGATAAAACATGGATGACTACTGTAATGATAAAACATGGATGACTACTGTAATGATAAAACATGGATGACTACTGTAATGATAAAACATGGATGACTACTGTAATGATAAAACATGGATGACTACTGTAATGATAAAACATGGATGACTACTGTAATGATAAAACATGGATGACTACTGTAATGAAAAACATGGATGACTACTGTAATGAAAAACATGGATGACTACTGTAATGATAAAACATGATGACTACTGTAATGATAAAACATGGATGACTACTGTAATGATAAAACATGGATGACTACTGTAATGATAAAACATGGATGACTACTGTAATGATAAAACATGATGACTATACTGTAATGATAAAACATGATGACTACTGTAATGATAAAACATGATGACTACTGTAATGGATGACTACTGTAATGATAAAACATGGATGACTACTGTAATGATAAAACATGGATGACTACTGTAATGATAAAACATGGATGACTACTGTAATGATAAAACATGGATGACTACTGTAATGATAAAACATGATGACTACTGTAATGATAAAACATGGATGACTACTGTAATGATAAAACATGGATGACTACTGTAATGATAAAACATGGATGACTACTGTAATGATAAAACATGGATGACTACTGTAATGATAAAACATGGATGACTACTGTAATGATAAAACATGGATGACTACTGTAATGATAAAACATGGATGACTACTGTAATGATAAAACATGGATGACTACTGTAATGATAAAACATGGATGACTACTGTAATGATAAAACATGGATGACTACTGTAATGATAAAACATGGATGACTACTGTAATGATAAAACATGGATGACTACTGTAATGAAAAAACATGGATGACTACTGTAATGATAAAACATGATGACTACTGTAATGATAAAACATGATGACTACTGTAATGATAAAACATGGATGACTACTGTAATGATAAAACATGGATGACTACTGTAATGATAAAACATGGATGACTACTGTAATGATAAAACATGATGACTACTGTAATGATAAAACATGGATGACTACTGTAATGATAAAACATGATGACTACTGTAATGATAAAACATGGATGACTACTGTAATGATAAAACATGGATGACTACTGTAATGATAAAACATGGATGACTATACTGTAATGATAAAACATGGATGACTACTGTAATGATAAAACATGGATGACTACTGTAATGATAAAACATGATGACTACTGTAATGATAAAACATGGATGACTACTGTAATGATAAAACATGGATGACTACTGGATTGATAAAACATGGATGACTACTGTAATGATAAAACATGATGACTACTGTAATGATAAAACATGATGACTACTGTAATGATAAAACATGATGACTACTGTAATGATAAAATATGAAGATGAATGTTTATGTGGTGCTGCTACACTTGATAATTAAACGCCCTGTTGAATCAATGCTGACTACTGTACCTCCTTCCTGGACGTAAACACAGTCGTGGGAGAAGGCGGACCGCAACACCTCGGCCTTCACCCCGGAGATCACCCCACTCATCCTGGCCGCCCACAGGGACAACTACGAGATTCTCAAGATCCTTCTCGACCGTGGAGCTACACTTCCCATGCCCCATGATATCAAGTGAGGTTTTACGTTTCTCTCCCACGTAGTTCCAGAGTATCTGCTCACTAAATGATATGTGTCCATTTTGTATGTAATTCGTCTGCAAGAATTTAGCTTTGTTAATTGTCATACTTATTTTAAATGAGTGTTTTATTTATGTACGATGAATACAGACTTATCACGACAATATAATATGCATCACTTACTGTATATCACTGAGTACATATCAAAGGCTTAGGCACAGTTACGGCACAGCTTTTCTTGTTTTGTCCAATTTGTGTTTATAAAGTTTTAACTCTTATTTAACTATGTTTTTATGTCGCCCTGTATCAACACTCTCTGATCTCCACCTGGTTCCGTCTAACAACATCTTGGCCATGACAGATGCGGGTGCCCTGAGTGCATCAGATCCTCTTCCGAAGATTCGCTGCGCTACTCCCGCTCTCGCATCAACGCGTACCGAGCCCTCGCGTCGCCCTCCCTTATCGCTCTCTCCTCCACTGACCCCATCCTCACCGCCTTTCAGCTCTCCCTTGAACTCAAGAGTCTCGCCTACACCGAACACGAGTTCAGGGCAGATTATCTGGTAAGCTCTAGTGCCATGTTGAGTGGCTGCTGACCAGTGAATGAGGTGTTTTTTCCCAGTTTAATTATATTGATTTTAGAAAAATGTCAATATCTCCCCTTTGCTAATCTCTTATCTCAGGGTACTCTCCTTCACCACCGTGGTCCTCCTTCTCCCGCAGGAGCTACGTAGCAAGTGTATGAAGTTCGCAGAGGAACTGCTGAGTCACGCACGATCCTCAACTGAGCTGGCGGTGATGCTGAACCACGACCCTGATTCTGTTGTCCCTTACGAGGAGGGCACACACATGATGCTCAAGCGTCTCGAACTGGCTATTGACTGTAACCAGAAACGGGTAATGTTTCTTGTACTCTCCCTCACAGGTTATTATTTTACGTTAAGAGATTATCACAACTTTATCAACTCCTGTCATATAAGATAGTTGTGGGCATTATACATGGGTCTACCTGATCAGCAGTTACAAACTTATTAAATTTTATTCGCTTGTTCACCTTTGTTCGGTGTTGTGTTGTAGTCAGCAAATGTGCGTCACCGTAAACTATGAATAATTTGGCCTCTTTTCCTAATTGACTTTTAAACTTTTTCGTTTACACACCGCAAATTTATTCTTGATCAAAATTATCCGCGAAACTAACGCGGTTTAAACCTTTTCCTGGTGAAGAAGCATTTGAATATATACCCTATTTTCCATATTTTTTCCTCACTTACCTGTCAAACTCATATATTTAACATCAGTAGCTGGGGAGACTTAAAAAATAATATAAATTATGAGCAGTAGGGAACAAGTAAGTAATGGATTACTAGACGTGTGAAATCCTTAACAACACTCGCTATCCCAGGTATTGACGCGTCATTATAATGAGAAGCACTTCCATCCCCCCAAATATATACTTTTTTTGCTTTTACTTTTATCCTCTTAATCACTGATCGGCTCGTTTGCCGCTTGGGCGATCGGTTACGTCTCTATTACGCACTGTTGGCAAGTACTGGGCATGCACTGACTCCTGAATGTATCTGAACCTGCTCCAGTGTTGCTCAAATCTGGTCTTGAAAAAGCTCACACACGTTGTCGCCAGCACACTCTCTGGCAGATTGTTCCAAGAGTTCACAGCTCTCACTCCGAAAAAGTTATCCGCACTTGCGGCTTCTTTAATCCTTGAGCTGTGTCCCCTTGTGGGGCGAGCGTCCGCCAGCTCCAGGTAAGGACACTCGACTGAGTAGTGCAGTCTAAAATATTTGTGCAGCTCAATCAGGTCTCCCCTTGCCCGTCTGCAGTACAAGCTAGGCAAGTTCAGGCGCTCCAATCTCTCCGGGTAGCTAAGGTGCCGCAGTCCAGGTACCAATCTGGTGGCCCTCCCTTAGACATTTTCAATCAGCTTACAGTCCTTAGCATATCTCGGGGATCAGACGAGATGACAGTAGTCCAGGCGGGGAAGCACTTCACTCTTGAAGATCGTAACGAGGGACGGACCATCTAGATATCTGAACGACCTTCTTATAAGACCTAATAACTTAGTTGCCTGGTTTACCTTCTTCTCGCAATGGCCCGAGAACTTCAGTTCATTGTCAACGTGCACACCTAGGTCATTTTCACATTCCGTATCATTTAATGCATTCTCTTCGTCCCGTTGGGACATATGATACGACTCCTTACCGTTGGTGCGTCCCAGGTGCATCCTCTTACACTTCGTGACATTGAATCTCAACAGCCATTTCTTCGACCATTCTTAAAGCTCACAGAGATCCTTCTATCGTTCTTCACAGTCCGCTTGGTTAATAATTTCCCGAAATAACTTGGCGTCGTCTTCAAACATTTGTATGGAGGAATCTACAGCCTCGGGCATGTCATTTCTGAAGCAAACAAACAGCAGCGGGCCCAATACACTGCCCTGTGGTATCCCGCTTGTTACGGATACAGATGATGATTTCGTGCCATTAACCACCACACACACTGATTGCGGTCATGTAGACAGTCCTCTACCCACTCCAGGACATTTCCCCGAATCCCGTTCCCTTGCAGTTTAATATTCAGTCTTACATGGGGTACACTCTCAAAAGCCTTGGCAAAATCTAAGTAAATATTGTCGATATTACTAACCTGATCTAGAATTTGGGTCCAAATATCACCTGCAAAATACCTTCAGATTTAGGTAAATCATTAATTACGTCGTATTAACAGAAAATACATAACAGTGACAGAATTGAGGTACTGTACGCCGATTCTGTGCCGTGACGTCACAAAGTTGATGTTTTAGATTAGATATACTAAAAACAAGTGAAAAGGTAATTACCAGGTTCTGATGACGTCATGTGGGTAGTGTAGCCACCTGATTAAGAAGATAGTGTATGTGTAGTGGAAGGTGAGGTAGTATAGTGGAGGTTGAGGTAGTATAGTGGAAGTTGAGGTAGTATAGTGGAAGTTGAAGTAGTATAGTGGAGGTTGAGGTAGTATAGTGGAGGTTGAGGTAGTATATTGGAGGTTGAGGTAGCATAGTGGAAGTTGAGGTAGTATAGTGGAGGTTGAGGTAATATAGTGGAGGTTGAGGTAGTATAGTGGAAGTTGAGGTAGTATAGTGGAGGTTGAGGTAGCATAGTGGAGGTTGAGGTAGCACAGTGGAGGTTGAGGTAGTATAGTGAAGGTTGAGGTAGTATAGTGGAGTTGAGGGTGAGTATAGTGGAGTTGAGGTGGTATAGTGGGTTGTGGTGAGTATAGTGGAGTTGAGGTGGTATAGTGGAGTTGAGGTGAGTATGGTGGAGTTGAGGTAGTATGGTGGAGTTGGGGGTAGTATAGTCGAGGTTGTGGTAGTATAGTGAAAGTTGAGGTAGTATAGTGGAGATTGAGGTGGTATAGTGAAGGTTGAGGTAGTATAGTGGAGGTTGAGGTAGTATAGTGGAAGTTGAGGTAGCATAGTGGAAGTTGAGGTAGCATAGTGGAGGTTGAGGTAGTATAGTGGAAGTTGAGGTAGCATAGTGGAAGTTGAGGTAGTATAGTGGAGGTTGAGGTAGTATAGTGGAAGCTGAGGTAGTATAGTGGAGGTTGAGGTAGTATAGTGGAAGTTGAGGTAGTATAGTGGAAGTTGAGGTAGTATAGTGGAAGTTGAAGTAGTATAGTGGAGGTTGAGGTAGTATAGTGGAGGTTGAGGTAGTATATTGGAGGTTGAGGTAGCATAGTGGAAGTTGAGGTAGTATAGTGGAGGTTGAGGTAATATAGTGGAGGTTGAGGTAGTATAGTGGAAGTTGAGGTAGTATAGTGGAGGTTGAGGTAGCATAGTGGAGGTTGAGGTAGCACAGTGGAGGTTGAGGTAGTATAGTGAAGGTTGAGGTAGTATAGTGGAAGGTGAGGTAGTATAGTGGAGGTTGAGGTAGCACAGTGGCGGTTGAGGTAGTATAGTGGAGGTCGAGATAGTATAGTGGAGGTTGACGTAATATAGTGGAGGTCGAGGTAGTATAGTGGAGGTTGAGGTAGTATAGTGGAGGTTGAGGTAGTATAGTGGAGGTTGAGGTACAGTAACATGGCCGTGTCCCTACAGTTCGTGGCCCACCCCAACATCCAGCAGCTCCTGGCCGCCCTGTGGTACGAGGGAGTCCCGGGGTTCAGGAGGAAAACGGTCATCGAGAAGTCTCTGGAGATTCTCAAGGTCAGTTTCTCTCTCCTTCCTCACTCTCTTTCACAACATGTTCTTCGACTGATGCCGTGATGTACTGTCTCTTATGTTAACTGCATTTGCTATATTGTAAATAAGATCTTACTAACCTTAGTGTGTGATAATTGTTGTTATTGTAATATACTTACATATATATTAAATGACTCTAATACATAATCTCGTTACAGTATAGGTTGTAGTATTTGGTAAAATATGGCAAGTAATGTTGTGGGGTTATGAGATATTGGTTCGCACTCAGGATGGGATGGAGAAAGGAAACTCACAATTTGCTCTCTGTATACATTTTGTATTGAATGTACAATGCAGCTTGGTGCTGGGGTGTGGCAGCGTGAGTCCAAGCGTGGTGTAGGAGAGAGCTGGTTGGTGAGGGTGCTCAGAGGAGGACAGGCAGCTTGAAGGGCGCCATGGTCGCCAGCGGGAGCGGGTGCCACCAGGCAGGAGCGGAGGAGGTGTTGCTTGCTGGTGGCTGTAGGTAGAAAGAGCGTGGTCACAGCGGGGTGAGGTCTTATATAGAGGAGGTAGGCTTGGCTTGATAGTTGACCTCAGTTATGTTAGGCAGCGCTGGTTGCCGACCTTGACCACGAGGCGCAGGCTGGGGAAGAATTCGAGGGTCGGCTAGTCAGCGACAACGGCGGTTATAGGGGAGGAATCCACTACACTGTATTGTGTTGTGTTGCAGGTGGTGGTGCTGTTTCCTTTCTACTGCATGTGGTATATGTTCCTTCCGGACACCCCTACTGGCAAGCTCATACGGACGCCCTTCATGAAGTTCCTTACCCACTCCTCCTCCTACCTCTTCTTCCTAAGTGAGTTCTCTAGCTGTCTCTATCTCTCTCAAAATGCTTTCTCAAAGTTACAGTCGGAAAATTTACTTTTAAAATAAATTGCCTGTAGTTTACTTTTAAAATTATAAGTGACATTGGTCTAACATTATTATTATTATTATTATTATTATTACTATTAGTAGTAGTAGTAGCAGTAGTAGTAGTAGTAGTAGTAGTAGTAGTATAAGCTGCAGCAACTGCTGCTGCAAGTACCAGAGAATTTGTAGAAAAAAAGTAGCTATAGCGCAGGAGGTGGGCGCCTCGAACTGGTTAACTACGTTACCGATAAGGGCAAATGGTTTCAGTCTCAATAAACAAGAATTTGCAGATGCCAATGCTCTAAGGTACAGTAGGCTCTACCTATGACGTCGATCATGCCATGGTGTGCAAGAAAGAGGGCTTCATATGCATGAGGCATGACGAAGTAAGGGATCTCACAGCAAATATGTTGAAGGAAATCTGCCGTGATGTCATGGTAGAACCGACCCTTCTTCCATTGGACAGTGGGATCTTCCAACATAGGACTTCAAACACATCCGACGAAGCCCGTGTTGACATCAGTGCTCGAGGATTCTGGACGCGGGACAGCGCGCCTTCTTCGACATTAGGATTTTTTATCCCATGGCCGCATGTCACCGTAACTTAGCTCCCATTGTGAAGCCAGAACATTATGAACAGGCAATGGAGGTGTTCGGTGGAAGTGAGGTCAAAATAACAAAGGATGGCCAGTAATCGGCACGACGGACTTCAAGACCGAGTATGTAACGGGAAAGGTGAATGAGTGGGTTAGGGAAATCCAAGCTCTGTCTGAGATTGCCAACACAGAGCCACATGTGGCTTTTGCGGCATTCACCCATGGAGTCAAGCATCACTGGAACTACCTGATGTGTACTATCCCTGATATTGGACCCCTCCTCCACCCTCTGGAAGAAGCTATCAGCGTCAATTTCATTCCCAAATTAGGGAAACACCTTCACTTAACCCCAGCAGAAAGATCACTTCTTGCACTACCACCGAGACTGGGAGGAATGGAATTGGCCAATCCAGAGGAGATTCCTGCCACCGAACATCAAAACTCAGTTCAGCTCACGGCAGCCCTAATTAACCACATAATAGCTCAGAATGCAACACGGGAGGTGGATACCAGTGAAGTAAACAAGATTCGAAGATGCATTAAGACAGAACGACAGCACGGCCAAAGTGATAAGTTGCAGCAACTGATGCTGCAAGTACCAGAGAATTTGAAAAAAAAAAGTAGCTATAGCGCAGGAGATGGGCACCTCGAACTGGTTAATTACGTTACCGAAAAGGGCAAATGGTTTCAGTCTCAATAAACAAGAATTTGCAGATGCCAATGCTCTAAGGTACGGTAGGCCAGTAGAAGGTTTGCCCTCCCAATACGTGTGTGGCTCTTCCTATGACGTCGATCACGCCATGGTGTGCAAGAAAGGGGGCATCATATGCATGAGGCACGACGAAGTAAAGTAAAACCGACCCTTCTTCCATTGGATGGATTGGATGGTGAGATCTTCCAACATAGGAACTTCAAACACATCCAATGAAGCCCGTGTTGACATCAGTGCTGGAGGATTCTGGACACTGGGACAGCGAGCCTTCTTCGACATTAGGATTTTTTATCCCATGGCCGCATGTCACTGTAACTTAGCTCTCGATGCTGCACACAGGAGGAACGAGAACGACAAGATAAGGGCATACGGGGAAAGAATTCAGAACGTTGATCAAGGCAGCTTCACTCCTCTAGTGTTCACCTCTGGTGGGATGGGACCAAGTGCAAGATGTTTCTATACCAGACTCGCGGATGTGATCTCCGAACAGAAGCAGCAGGCCAGAATTTATGTTACAGCCTGGATGTGATGTCGACTGCCCTTCTCTCTCCTTAGATCGGCTTTGCTCTGCCTTAGGGGAATGAGAGCATCGGCCCCAAAGCCGACAACAGTTGCAGATATTGACTATGAGGCAACAGTCATGAATGCAGCATAGATCTGCGGCTCAACTAACTCCACACAGCTAGAATAGCTATTTATGTATTAGTATATTTAATTATAAGGTAATAAAATGGCGGCGAAGGTGTGGCTATAAGGGGAGGATGGAGGCCACGTTATAAAAAAAATAAATAAATAAAAATGTAGTAGTGGTAGTAGTAGTAGTAGTAGTAGTAGCAGTAGTAGTAGTAGTAGGATAGCTACTTATGTATTAGGATATTTAATATTAAGGTAATAAAATGGCGGCGAAGGCATGGCTATTTGGAGAGGCTGGAGGCCAAGTTTAAAAAAAAAATAGTAGTAGTAGTAGTACCCGATTTTGCATTATACTCACACATAGTTTCATAATAAACAATATCTTACTTTATACCATGATTCTAGTATTTTTAGTTCAAAAGTTATCACCTGCCTCATGGCCGAAATGATCACCGGAGACTATTTTTTAATTCACGCTCTAGCGGGGTACATATTTCATATGTACACTCCCAAAAAAAAGTATCCGTGCAGGGTGAGATCGATGACTTCCGAAACGATATGTATACACTGTGATATGTCGGGAAGGTTGGTAAGTGTATCCTCATAACCGCCCCCACCCCCCACTAGGTGTTGCCATATGGCTGACAATCAGTGTGTTTGTTTCCATTTTTCGGATTGTTGCTTTGTGTCGACTGGATGATGAGCGAAGGTTCGGTCTCGGTGAACGTGGGTATAAAACAGAGGCAATATGAAGCAGTAGAGAGCTACACATGCCAGACGACATGGAAACCTCAGAGGGAGCACGAGGAGCTTTTATTGCCCTTCATAACAAAGGGTTCGGCGTCACAGATATTAGCCGGCGGGTTGGTGTCCACAGGAACACCGCTGCATGATGGATTCAGCGATACCTCGAAACTGGTGCTACAGACGACAGGTCTCAGAGCGGCCATCCACGCTGCACCACCCCTCAGGACGACCAGGTTGAGTGGTTTATTTGGTTGCATAAATTAATGTGGCAATATTCACAAGTATCACAAATAATTTTGTTAACAAGGCGCTCCTCATATTTCATACTGTCTATTTATCACTTCCCGACCTTATTTATAACGGTTTGTTACACTTGACCAGGGCTGCCAACATACGGCTGGAACAACTCGCCTTTCCCAATACCTATCGTCACTGGTCTCAAATTATTCACACTACAGTATGCACTGATACTTTTTGTTGCGAGTGTACATAAGAGCTCAATCTTTTCTAAATAGTCCAAGGTACGTAGATCAACAATAAAAGCAAAGTGTAAGAAGATAATGGTCACGAGTTCTATGAAAATGACTCTACTCTACTCTGTTCCTAGAGCTGATATCATTTCATCTATCAATGCGGATCTAACCATCTCCGAATGGGGAGGTAGAAACTTGGCTAAATTTAATGGTAATAAAACACAGTATTTGCCAATTACACTTTCCAAATTAGATGATTTACAATCAATCACATTTCAGGACGCAATCATTCTGCCAAATTCTAAAATAGATATGCTAGGCCTCACAATTTCCTGCAGTATGTCATAGAAACCACACATCCACAACATTGCTATAGCTGCCTCCCGAAAGCTGGGAATGCTGTACAAATGCCGTCTTATTAACTCTCCTCCTTTAGCTGATAATCTGTCTTCCCTTTCTATTCGCCGCAATGCTGCTTCACTCTCTTTCTCTTACAGGTACTTTAACGGGCAATGTTCGGTGGATTTGGCAGCCTCTGTGGATGTCGGTCACACTAGATTCCAGAATAACCCGTTATAGTACATCCTTCCTTCCTCACACAGCAAAACTGTGGAATGCTCTGCCTTCTTCTGTGTTTCCATACTCATACACTCTGTCTCATTTCAAAAGGCTGGCTTTCCGGCATCTTCGTGGTGTAGATTAATATAATCTTTTTCTTTTCTATTTTTAATTTATTTTTACTCTAATTTTTTTTCCGTCTCCTAGGCCCCGTTGTAGGTCGATGACCTGTGACCGGGTGGGCTATACCTCGTAAAAAAAATTGATATGGATTTAATTAAATAAAAGGGACCAAACGTAGGATGTAAAGGGATTCAATTTACCCTCACAAAGATCTTCTTGTCGTTCTCTTGTGCCTCATAATGTTCAACAGCTGTGCCTCATATTGTCCAACAGTTGTACCTTATATTGTCCAACAACAGTACCTCATATTGTCTAACAGTGGCTCCTCATATTGTCCAACATTTATACCTCATATTGTCCAACAGTTATACTTCATATTGTCCAAAAGCAGTACCTCATATTGTCTATCAGAAATACTTCACATTGTCCAACAGCTATACCCCATATTGTCCAACAGCTACACTTCATATTCTCCAGCAGCTATACCTCATATTGTCCAACAGTTACACCTCATATTGTCCAACAGCTATACCTCATATTGTCCAACAGTGGTACCTCATATTGTCCAACACCTACACTACATATTGTCCAACAGCTGCACTTCATATTGTCCAACAGCTATACCTCATATTGCCCAACAGTTATACTTCATATTGTCCAAGAGTTAGACCTCATATTGTCCAACAACAGTACCTAACATTGTCCAACATCTTTACTTCATATTGTCCAAGAGTTAGACCTCATATTGTCCAACAGCAGTACCTCATATTGCCCAACAGTTAAACTTCATATTGTCCAAGAGTTAGACCTCATATTGTCCAACAACAGTACCTCATATTGTCCAACAGCTTTACTTCATATTGTCCAAGAGTTAGACCTCATAATGTCCAACAACAGTACCTCATATTGTCCAACAGCTTTACTTCATATTGTCCAAGAGTTAGACCTCATATTGTCCAACAACAGTCCCTCATATTGTCCAAGAGTTAGACCTCATCTTGTCCAACAACAGTACCTCATATTATCCAACAGCTGCACTTCATATTGTCCAGGCGTTTCTTCAACACTCTCGTCACCGCTATAAAAAAGTCGATTAGTCTCTACTCTTATGGTAACGTTAAATGTTTTATTGATTTTAATTTCGTCATTACTTTACTTCTTCAAGTTTATGTTGTTATTAATTTCCATAAACGTGTTTTTCCAGTGTTGTTGATCTTGGTATCGGTACGTTTTGAGAACTTGGTCATTTGGTTATTCGGAACTGAGCAGATGAAACTGGCCCTGGAGAAGTCGATGAGGAGACAGCGCGGGAACCTGCCAACACCTACGGAGTGCATTGTAGCTCTCTGGGTTTTCGGTAAGCTTACTCCACAACTCGCCAGATATATATGTATATATATATATATATATATGTAACCGGTCGGAATATACTGGACTTTATTTTCTCACTTGACTTCGGGTTTATTAAAGATTAAAAGATGGTAATGGCAGTGGAAGCGCCCCTTTGAGAAAAAATCCCGAACCAGCACAAGAACACTTAAATCTACTAAACAAAATGAATTGTCCGTGACCCGTGGAAGGATAGCGTCTGTGACTGGGATGAATGAGACACACTGTAAAATTTAGACACTTATATTCCCTCCAACACTACAAACACAATCAAATAATGGTACACCAATATGCGCACCTCTTAACTTGAACTTAAAACACTACTCTGGGGAATAAAAGTTATACATAATATAGAAATTATTAGAAACTCAGGCAACAATAAATTTGAAGTATTAAGAAATGTTGCTTGCACACATGAAACAGGCCTTAAGAGCTTTCAACAAAATAATATCCAGCACTGAGAAAATGGTATTCAAAAATAAGAAATTAATAACTCTACACTGAATAGGCCTTAAGGGCACTTAACAAAATTATATCACCCCAACAGATGCACGCTTCCTAACCTAACTTAACCACTACTCTGGGGAACAAAGGTTATACCTGAGATCGGAATTATGAAGAAAAATTAGATGCATTAAAAGAATCAAATCACAGTATCACTCTGGTTCCACTTAATGACACAAACATTCAAAAAACAATACTATCAAAATTATTTAAGAAATATTAAACTACACACGTCAAGATAATATCAGTAACTGAGAAATGGTATTAACTACACCCAAATATATTCACTATTATTGATATGTTACTGGGTCCACCCATACTCGTGAACCATGCTCCACCAAACTCAACATTCACCCGTAATAAGGGAGATAAATTTACTCAGATAGCCGCAGTGTACTCCCAGTGCGTCCATAAAGCGGAAGGGAGTGAGCCAATCAGACCTTGTACAGTTGAGAGAAGCTTTAGCTTCCCGTTAGCAAGAGGGTTTCACTAACCTGCTCGAGACATGTGGTGTGGTGAGCCGAGGTAGAGGAGAGCTGATGACCCCAACGATCGTCCCGTCGTCAGCTGGGCACCCAGACGGCTAGATTCCCTCAAGAGATCCTTTGATACACCGCTAAACAGTGACAGGCCTACACTGATCGATCCAATGGCGACAATCGCCACCCTCGATCATCAACGGCAGCCTCAAACGGCAGTCAATCTCTCGCAGTCATCACTCTCGCAGTCAAACTCGCGGTCAAGTGGGTTCTGACGGAAACCCTGAAATGAACTCACTGTTAGCTCTTGTTAACTTTACCACTGCCCTATCTAACCCTGTCTGAGATCGAATGAGACTTACTTGTTATACTGCAATCATGCAACACAGGTGACTAGGCCACGTGACTATTTCTGTGACGGACGCGCAGGGACGTCTTGTTTGTCTGAATGCTTCCCCGTGACTGAGGGAGAGCCAGCGTCGCGTCTCTCCAAGGCGCCAGCTTAGGCCTACGTGACATATTTTCCGCTTAACTAATAACTCCTTGGGACACCCGTAACATTATTCAGACTGATAAACGATCTATAATAATTTCAAATTCAATAATAGTCCCTTAACTTCACGAATCGCATCATTATTAATTCGGCAAATTACATTTAATATCATATAGGCCTAGTTCCACAACCTCCCACTATGTGTGGGGAGCGCTCTCTTCCCTCAGACGACCTTGAACGCTCAGTATCGCTAATGGCGGGGCATTTGAAATTTCTGAATATTACATATATATATATATATATATATATATATATATATGGAAATTTACGTAACCGAACGA